TCAAGCAGGAAATTATTGATGGATATCAAGTCGAAGTTCCAGATTATTGGCTTGACTTCAATCCATGGGAGTTCCCTCGACATGATGTCACCGTGGATGTAAGCGGTCGAAAGTTTGCATTATTGGAATCGTTTAAGCTGACTTGAATCCAAGGTCCAATTTTTCGGCTCGGTTAAGAAGGTGCCCAATGAGCAGGGGAAATCCGTGGCTGTCTGGGAAGGTGGTGAAATCGTAGTAGCGGTTGCCTACGATGTTCCTATCCCTGGATATGACACACCAACTACCAACAACCTCCGGCTCTGGTCCAGCAAGGCATCGGGAGGCGAGTTTGACTTTCAGAAATTCAATAGTGGAGATTATGAAAGCTCAGTTGCTGAGCAGCAACGTGCTGAGACGATCAGCAACGTGCTATATCCGAATGACAACCTTGAGCGGGGCAAAGAGCTCCGTCTTAAGCAACAGTACTTTTGGGTAGCTGCTTCTCTCTACGATATTGTCCGTCGTTTCAAAAAGTCCAAGCGAGCCTGGAGAGAATTCCCAGAGCAGGTGGCAATCCAACTCAATGATACACATCCGACTTTGGCAATCGTGGAACTGCAGCGCATCTTGATCGATATTGAAGGGCTTGATTGGGACTTGGCTTGGGAAATCGTGACCGGCACGGTAAGCTGAATGAACCCGTTTACTAATTATTGGATACCCTGCTAAATAGTCGTAGTTTGGTTACACCAACCATACCGTGCTGCCCGAAGCTTTGGAGAAATGGCCAGTGGGGCTTGTCCAGCATCTCCTCCCTCGACATCTTCAGATCATCTACGACATCAACCTTTTCTTCCTACAGTCCGTTGAGAAACAGTTCCCAGATGATCGAGATATTCTCACGAGAGTCTCTATCATTGAAGAGTCGCAGCCAAAAATGGTGAGGATGGCTCACCTCGCCATTGTGGGCTCTCACAAGGTAAATGGCGTGGCAGAGCTCCATTCCGATCTCATCAAGACGACTATTTTCAAGGATTTTGTCGAGATATATGGCCCAGACCGGTTTACAAATGTGACCAATGGTATCACGCCTCGACGCTGGCTTCACCAGGCGAACCCTCGCCTCTCTGAGCTGATCGCCTCCAAACTAGGAAGCCATGAGTTCCTTAAAGATCTCTCACAATTGAACAAGCTCGAACTTCTAGTCCAAGATAAAGAATTCAAGAAGGAATGGGCAGAGATCAAGTTTGCCAACAAGGTCCGCCTTGCTAAATACATCAAGGAGACTACGGGGGTTAATGTGAACCCATCTGCTCTTTTCGACGTCCAGGTCAAGAGAATCCACGAGTACAAGCGGCAGCAGTTGAATATCTTTGGTGTTATCCACCGGTATTTGACACTGAAGGCCATGACCCCGGCAGAGAGGAAGAAGCAGCTGCCACGAGTCTCCATCTTTGGTGGAAAGGCTGCTCCAGGTTACTGGATGGCCAAGCAAATCATTCATCTGATCAACGCTGTTGGCTCGGTTGTGAACAATGATGAAGATATCGGTGACCTTCTCAAAGTAATTTTCCTTGAAGACTACAACGTCAGTAAAGCAGAAATCATCTGCCCTGCTTCAGATATCAGTGAGCATATCTCGACTGCAGGGACTGAGTATGTGCCACACCAAATATCCTTTTCTAGAAGAAGATGCTAACCCGTGTCATAGGGCCTCGGGAACAAGCAACATGAAGTTCGTCCTAAACGGCGGGCTCATCATTGGCACCTGTGATGGCGCAAATGTAAGCGTGTTGTTGCATACTATACTGTTAAGCAACGCTGACAAGATATAGATCGAGATTACGAGGGAAGTTGGCGAAAACAACATTTTCCTCTTTGGTAACTTGGCCGAGGACGTTGAAGACTTGCGCCACGCACATACATACGGCTCCCACACCATCGACCCGGATCTCGCCAAGGTGTTCGAGGAGATTCAAAAGGGCACATTCGGCTCTGTGCATGATTTCAGTGCCATGATAGCAGCCGTCAAGGATCATGGCGACTATTACCTCGTGTCAGACGACTTCCACAGCTATATTGAGACGCACACGCTTGTGGATGAGGCCTATCGGAATCAAGAAGAGTGGGTTGTCAAGTCCATCACGGCCGTTGCCAGGATGGGTTTCTTCAGCAGCGACCGCTGCATTTACGAGTATGCTGATGGGATCTGGAACGTTGAGCCGTTACCTAGGCGCGATTGATTTTTCCCATTTGAGTGTAGGCTTGTTTCTGGTGTGCTACTCTACGTATCCTGTCATTCATTACTCCTGAATATCATCACCTAAAATAACCATTATTGCCCAAGATTTGTTTGCCTCTTCCGTCATATGGGCAATGCGACGTAGAAAGTGTTGAACTCGACACGAGGAAACTTTCCAAGCTTTGGTAGCTCGAAAGAGGCTTAGCTAAATTGCCCTATCCCAACCTTATTAGTGCGATTCAGCTTCATGGAAAATGCCTTCCTGAGCTTTAATCACGACACTTACCTTTGAGAAAATTCGAGAAACCGGTCAGACGATGCAATTTGTGAATCCCCGATTATGCACTGACAGATCGATGAAAGCCGTTTGCTAGCGCGACAGTTGAATCATGAGGGCTAACAGTCGTTAGTACCTTTGCTAGAGAATTACATGGAGGAGAACATGCAACATGATAGTGACGAGTTAGTAGCCCGACTGGGGGGCATTGAAGTGCCCCACCCTGGAGGGCTGCCATTGATGTGTCTCAGCCAACAGCATCGCCTGGGCTGAGGGACAAACGGTGTGTGTGGTACTTTGGACGCCAGAGACAAATTGGGCACAAGCGAATGGCTGAGCGCCGGAGAGTCTGCTCCTTGTCCTTGGACCTGACAAGTAAGAAGGCAATGCTTGATTGCCTTGGAATTTCTAGCCAGCTACCTAGCAAGGGTCGGGAGGATCATTAGTTGGACAGGGGAGCCAAGGAATGCGGCAAGAAGAACCCCGCCTGCAAGCACAAGGACGTCACCAGAAATAAGAAATGCCCGACCGTGTGAGCGAGGCCAGGGAAAAGCGTTTATTCTTACGGGAGAAAGGCTTGCTCGCGTTCATTGTGGCTGATTACCTTAGGTAGTCAAATAGCCTTCTTCTCCTTTCCTGTTTTTTTTTTAATGAATTCTCAACAGGATGGCAGGGATTTTGGAAGGAATCGGTGGTGGTGGTGGGAGGTGTCTCTAAAATAGATGGCTGCTTTGGGAAGACGAGTTTCTATCAGCCCCATGTTGTGCAGGAGAGCTGATGAGGTATGATGCCATCAAGCATGGGAATCTGCCAGGTATCGTGCCTGGAGCCACTTCTCACACCCAGTTTTGGCACTTACCCATTCATTGGCAAGGGGGAATTGTTATGTGTGAACTGATAACGACCACCTCCGTCATAGGATTACTTCCATGGTCATCATAAAGCCCCTCCCCCGCTGCAAATCCGGTGCAAGTTTGGTCGACCTTTTCCTAGATCCTTGCTCAATCCAATGCGCAAGTCAAGAGAAGCTTGTCCTTGCCCGACTCATATCATTGCCAGCCTAAAGACCCTTCCCCTCGAGGCCGTTCCCCCTTGCTTTGGTGTGGTATAGCAGACCGGTCAATTGACTTCCAGACATTCTGACAAGCGACCCTAACCCTGACGTCGACACGATCGAGAGCGAGTGAGGGGCAATCGTAAGAAGAGGCGCTGACCGAAATCTCGATCGATCACCAAGGACCCATCAGACCGCCTGACAAGTACTAGTGAAAGGGGTTGGGTAGAAAACACCCGAGCGCTGCTCTTTTTTTCTCCCGCCGCCAAAAGACAGATAGACAATCTCATTCCTGGGATTTTCTGGGTTCTACATTTCGAGCACTCGTTTGCCAAGCTGAATTGAGGTACACGGAGGAAGTATATACGTTCGACCCCGCCGAGCGAGCTTTAGACGAACTACCAGACCAAACGGCGCGCATACCAGTAGCTGTGCTTCTTTCTGCGACGTGAGTACTGGCCGTTATTTTCTCCTTGTTTTCTACTTGTTTTCAGGTACCTTCCCCCTCGACATTACTATACCCCGGAGGCCCTGGCGGGACTGGATGGGGCACCTTGCGTGTGCCCGTTACATGTGTGGCATATTCGGGGGTGATTGTCTGCCATCGTGACTTGATGCGCTGTTGGGCCTATTCAGCACTACCCAAGCACATATCGCATGTGGCAGCGGACGGTCGTACGGCGACGGCCTGCAAGCTGCGGTCAATTTCGGCTTGGGTGGATGCCATATTGGCTCTGGCGCCAGCATGTCCATTTCATTCGCGCTCGCGCCGGGCTTTTTGACTCAAATAGCTTACTCTAGTGTCCAGGCTGGTTTACTCACGATTACACGACATTACGAGGGAGAGAGCTGAGCCGGAGACACCTTTGGCGCTACAGCGAGCCCCGCCAGTTTAGGTACCTGTGCTTCGGGCCTTCAGTGTCACTCACAGCCTATTATTGATCACTGAATAACGTACTGGTCATTTTACCCCGCTCCTCCTTACTCCTTTGCCCTGCTCGCATTTTGCCTCCCCTCGCTCGCTGGAACGTCAGAGCTGTGGCTGGAGCATCCCTCCCAGCACGAAAACCAGAGAAGCTTCAAGGTACCACCAACTACCTAGAAATCCCCAGCAGCGGACCTTCTTGGCATTTTCGTTCGTCCTTCTCTTGCACACCCCCAGCAAACTCCTAAGACCTCTTTTCATCAAGATAATCGTCTTACCGTCACTTGTCCGGAACCGTATTTTCAATTTTTTTTTGCGAATCCGCTCAACTCAGTCCGATTGCCGAGGAGATTTCGCGTGCGCGTAACTCTGGATTCGCCCTCCCCTCCCTCGCCTGGTTCCCCGCCATTCCCTTCTGCCCAGGAAGACCTGCATCACCTCCAGCCCATCGCACGACGGGCACCCGCACCCTTCCCTTTTGCTTGAAATCTTTCAGAAAGCGAATAGAGAGCAATAATTCACAATGGCCGAGTTCGTTCGCGCCCAGATCTTTGGCACAACTTTCGAGATCACCTCAAGGTAACCCACCCTGCGGGCAAAATCCGTTCTTCCAAAGCGCTTCTTCAGGTCCTGATACGCATGATTTCAGGTACTCGGATCTCCAGCCTGTGGGCATGGGAGCATTTGGTCTCGTATGGTACGTTATTCCCTCTACCCCTTTCTGGGCTTTCTTCAGCCTTGCCCCGCCTCCTGCCCCTCCCTTGAAGCAGAAATCATAGTTGTGATACTGACCTTGGATGGTGTGGAATAGTTCTGCGCGAGATCAGCTCACCAACCAGAATGTTGCCGTCAAGAAGATCATGAAGCCCTTCAGCACCCCAGTCCTTGCCAAGCGAACGTACCGCGAACTCAAACTGCTGAAGCACCTTCGACATGAGAATGTGAGTGTTGCTATGATCTACCACATGCAGCACGCGAGGCCTTATAGCTCACCTCTTTCAAGATCATCTCCCTTAGCGATATCTTTATTTCCCCACTAGAAGATCTGTACGTCCCGCCACGATTCCTGATAAATCTGAAGAGCCAGCACTGAACGCGCGCAGTTACTTTGTCACAGAGCTCCTCGGAACCGATCTGCATCGTTTACTCACCTCGAGGCCGTTGGAGAAGCAATTCATTCAGTACTTCCTCTATCAAATCATGGTATGCACCTTTCGATCCGCTAATGTGATGTTCATTTGTGCTGATATAGTTGGCAGCGAGGCTTGAAATACGTCCACTCGGCGGGTGTCGTCCATCGGGACTTGAAACCAAGCAACATTCTCGTCAACGAAAACTGCGATTTGAAGATTTGCGACTTTGGCCTCGCCCGTATCCAAGACCCGCAGATGACAGGTTACGTTTCGACGAGATACTACCGAGCCCCCGAAATCATGCTCACATGGCAAAAATACGACATTGAGGTGGACATCTGGAGTGCTGGCTGCATCTTCGCTGAGATGCTGGACGGGAAGCCCCTCTTCCCTGGAAAGGACCATGTGAACCAGTTCTCCATTATCACTGAGCTGCTGGGCACACCTCCTGATGATGTCATCAACACAATTGCCAGCGAGAACGTACGTAGAAACCACCCCTGCTGCGGAGGGAGGCACAATTACTGACATTGGAAATGACAGACATTGCGGTTCGTCAAGTCGCTACCGAAGCGAGAGCGCCAGCCGCTGAGGAATAAGTTCAAGAACGCCGACCCTGCCTGTAAGTCTTTGAGGTTTAGAGATCTACGATTTCCCAGGTGTATATAGGAGCTACACTTGAGTTTCGTATCGTAGCATTGGCCGCTGACAACCTTTTGATAGCCGTTGACCTGCTCGAGAGGATGCTCGTATTCGACCCCAAGAAGCGGATAACAGCTACAGAAGCTCTTGCCCACGAATACCTTGCGCCGTACCATGACCCTACAGACGAGCCTGTGGCGGAAGAGAAGTTTGACTGGAGTTTCAACGATGCTGATTTGCCAGTGGATACTTGGAAGATCATGATGTAAGTTTTTTTTTTTTTTTTTTGCAACCTCGATGTATCTACGGCCTTGGAAACTGACATTTTGGCACAGGTACTCAGAAATCCTAGACTACCATAATGTGGAGGCCAACGTTGCTAATATGGAGGAGACCTTTGGCGGCCAGTAAGCAACAGGGATGGGTCATGTAGTAATTGTTCTCTTTTTCTTTTCAAAACAGCACAATGGACATTCCCCGTTACCCTTTGGGATTGGTTGAGGCGAAAAGTGAATCTTCATGCGATGAGACTCCTTCTGCCTGGGACGACGATGACGACACTGAATGATGATTCCAGCAAAGTGTGGGCACACAGTGGAAGGTTTGATCGCCCTTTGGGTCACACGTCTGGCGTTTGGGAGATGAAATGCGGACTGGTTTTTTTTGTGTGTGTCCTTTTCCTTTTTTCTTATTGTTCTTATAAAGAGAGATGCTTATGATGCGCAATGGAAAATATACGTGGGTAGATGCGGCACTAATGATATGGCATTGCGTTCTTCTCCGCGATCTTTTGGTTTTTTGACATGTTCTCCATTTGTCGTTGTAAGTAGTTTTCAGAGTTGACTCGTGATAGCTTTATCCTCGCCGTATCTGTCCGAGGTCAGGGCCATTGTTTTGGTTTGAATACCGTCTGAGAGGATGGCAGCTCTGTCGACTCGATACAAGGGATTGTCAGTTCGGTGAGCGATTACGAATATTAGGCAGACTGAGTTGAAGCTAAGTCAGGTGGTGATGATTGAGCTTCAAGCCGATACTTCCTCTATGCTGCATTGTGCTTCTCCAAGCAACCAACTTTATAGAAAGCTTACGGTAATCTCGTCGCTCTTGATCAAAGTTCGATAGCAGATTTGATTACCTTGTCCAAGAAATCTCGAACATGCTAAACATTATGCAACAAAGTATCGACAACAATACCAGTATTTTGAAGCAATGCAGTGAGTTGGTTTCAACTCATGACCGACAACTTAGCAAGCGGCAATACACTTTTGTTCTATAACTTGCCGTCTTGCCCAGCTGAGCGATGACGGCTCAAGCACAGTGAGGGTTGCGAGATTCTCCCACAAATCTATGGACCAATCCATTTCTTCGCCCAAGGCCGAACTAGATAATGGAGTCCAATAAGTTTCCTACCTATCTATAATTCCAAGGCATACTTACTCAATGCTCCTTGAAAACCTCCACGATGTGTGATTACCGGGGTTGGCACTCGATACGAGCGATTGTTGGTCCGGTGACCGATTACGAATAAGCAGTGAACTGAATAGTCATTGGTGACGATTGAGCGGTGGGCTCGGCTCGCAACTGCACACCGAAACCGGAGGCCTTGCAGGCGATGTCTCATAAATATCCTTGTCGGCATGTCCTCACCGGTGTGAGATGTAGTTTTCAATGCGTATGCTCGAACTTGGTTATTCTCTTGATCAATTGAATACATTGTGGTTTGCGGTTAGCGGCCTGGCTTGACGCCATCGAGGTAGATTTGACGTGACGATGGAGAAGATGCCGGCTGTGATTTCGAGGTGGCATCCCCTGCTCATCTCTCATGGGAATCTTCCCATGGAAAAATCGACAGCTAGGACGTGGCTGAGAAAGACCCTTGTTGCACAATTCCTTGTCCTTTCACTGCCGTGCAAGGCAAGGGGGAGGTGCAAGTGGCTTGGGGCGGCTCCTTCCCCGGGAATAGCGCAGCCAGAGGGCAGGGACGGTGGAGATGGCGCCTTCTCTCCCATGCGCCCGGCCCGCTCGCGGCGCAGTTTTAGTGATGCAGGCTGTCTTCCTGGATGACCGCCATTTGCGAGTCCGAGACTTACCGCTGTCATCTCACATAGATTTCTCCCTTTCTCGGAGGCCATGCCGGTGATTGTTACTTGTAGAGCGACCCCCCACGAATTCAATGATCTTCCTTGCTTTCTCTTCCACCCTCCTTCCACTTGACCCGCCTGCCGCCCTCTCCCGTCCTTTGCTTGCCGTTTCCTCCTATGGCTTGCTACGATGGGGCTCATATCACCGGAGATTTGGCTGGATTCTGCTACCGGCAGCTCTGATCAACAGGTAGTTCAAATGCAATCAAGGTTTGTAGTATCCACACCCGTTGAATGGACGGCGTCCCGGGAACTTGGTTTGGCTGACTCTGTATCACCTGATCTTACACTATGAATGTAGTCTCGGTCCTGGATTATCAACTATTCCATGGATTCTCCAAGTTTCTCAGATCGCCCTCTCTGGCTTGCCGCAGACTATCATTCTTGGTGTCTCGGTCACCCTGACTATCTTCAACATACTATGGCGCCACAGGAGAGGGGATCCATCAATCAGACCCAAGTCTAGGGCATCTAAGATAGGATGGCCCTTTGAGTTGGCTTCCCAAGCCGCTCGCGCTGCTTCTGTGGCATTCTGCGCGGTTTCACTGGCCCGTGGTTATGTTCACTGGCCGAGCCTCGCTGCCCTCACATATGGGCTTGTCCTTGGCCTACTCCGCCTCATTGGTGATATTGGCTGGCGTCACCTTGCTCTCCACCAGGTGAATTTCGTATTCACGGCTGTGTTCTTCCTTCACCTCGCAGCTTACTTCCTTCCATGTGTTGAGATTGGCTCATCCTACAGCAGCGACTCAAGCGTTATAGCTGGCACCCTGGCCCTAGGCGTGACTACATGTATCGCGGTGGTCACTCCAAGAGAATGGGTTCCACCAAGTCTGGAGCGTGATATATCCACCCAGCCCATAGATGAAGAACCCTCTCTCGAGGAAAAATGCAGTTGGTTTAATTATTACTGTACCTATGAGTGGCTCACACCCCTCGTCTGGAAGGGCGTACAGCGAAAGCTGGACATGTCAAGCATTCCAAGATTAGCCTGGTATGATGAACCTCTCTATCTCCTACGAAAGGTCCAGGATGCTCGGTCTATTTCAAAAAAGACTATTTGGACCGCTCTGCGATTCCAGAGGAGTGAGCTATGCCTCATGGCCCTGTGGATCGGGCTCTCCTATGTTGCGGAAAACATTGCCCCGTATGCCATGTTCAAGCTTCTAGCCTTCCTCGCGTCACCAGATGATGCCCAATACCAGCCATGGGTGTGGTTGTCGTTACTATTCATTGGTCCAATGTCCCGTTCCATTCTCTTCCAGCAGTACGTCTTTAATTCGACACGTCTTGTGGTTCGAGTCAAGTCTGCGATGACGCAGGAGCTGTACTATAAATCTTTGGAGTCTATGGAAATGGAGGAAGATCCTTTTGACATCCAAAAGCAGAAACGAAGCGATACTAACAACAACGGACAAGCTGAGGAGGGGAAACAGAAGAATTCAACGACTTCTGCTGGCAGGCTAGCAAATCTCATGGCTGCCGATGTGGATGCGATATTCCGGGCGCGAGATTTCATCATGGTTTCTGTTGGGATACCTGCCGGAACCATAATCTCATCCGTCGGTATGTATCGCATGATGGGATGGCCTTCACTGGTGGGAATCGTCGTTTTGGTATTCGCTATCCCCATCTCCGTTGTGCTGGGGCGCATGACCTACAGCACCCAGGCACGGGTGAGAAAGGCTCAAGATACCAGAATTTCCCTCGTGACCGAGTACCTAGCGTCCATTCGTGCCATCAAATATTTTGCCTGGGAAGATGCAATTACCCAGAAAGTCATTGAATCTCGGGCAAAAGAGCAGAAGCAGCTCTGGAACGTCGCCGTCCTACAGGCCATTATCAACCAGGTAACCCAGATATTCCCTTATCTTTCTCTACTTGTCATGTTTGGTCTGCATGTCGGGCTCGAGAAAAAGCGGCTAGACGCGTCGGTTGCCTTCACGACCGTATTTCTTGTCAAAAACATACGTAGAAACATCATGCAGGGTAGTTATTTTGCTCGCAATTTTGCTGCTGCCATGGTCGCCTTCGGCCGCCTAGACCGGTATTTTGAAAGCAATGTCCCTCTTGAAAAGTACCCTATTGGGCCCCTGAGAATAGAAAAGGGGTGTTTCCGCAGAAATAGAAAGGCCCTTTTCAGCCTCGAGGATATCTCTCTAGACTTTGTCCAGGGTGGCCTGAATACGATTGTCGGCCCCAGCGGCAGCGGGAAGACAACCTTACTGCTTGCCATCCTGGGAGAAACTTACCTAGAGGGTGGGCGCATCACAAGGCCAGACGATGTAGCCTTCTCATCCCAATCGTCTTGGCTTCGAAACGATACCATCAAGTCTAATGTTCTCTTTGGAAGTCCTTTGGAGAAGCCTAGATATGATAGAGTTATTGACGCCTGCTGCCTCGAGGATGACTTCATCGAACTCTATGATGGAGATCTAACCACAGTGGGTGAGAATGGCACATCCTTGTCCGGTGGTCAAAAGGCTCGGGTTGCATTGGCGAGAGCACTCTATTCTAAGGCTCCTTTGCTCCTCCTCGACGATGTGTTTGCTGCTCTCGATGCGAAGACTGCTGCCAGGGTGTGGGAGCGGTGCTTCTGCGGGGATCTCCTAAAAGGGAGGACCGTTGTGTTGGTAACTCAGATACCATGGATTGCTTCACAGAGTGACTTGGCTGTCACCATGGACAAAGGAAAGGTAAAAAGTGCCGAGGTAAACATCGGTGTTGTTCAGAAACCGATTACCGCTGCAGAGGTACAGGATATTGATGACGAAGCCCCTGAGAACGAGCTGCAGACGCCTCCAGAGTTGGATTTGCAGCCGAGCGATGGCCCCATGAGCGGAGCGGCAGTCAAAGTCTCTGAAGATACCTCTTCGAAGGATATTGTTAATCAAGAAATGAAAGCTTCTGGGAGTATTGGACGTCTTACGTGTAAGTTATACGGCTACGTTTTCCCTCTGCATGGACTTTCGAGATCTAGGGAGCTGACAATTCTTAGTTCTCCAGTATATGAGCTATTTTGGCCATCCTCTCCTTGCAGGAATGTGTTTTTTCTTTCTCCTGATCTGCAATATTGTCACCTTCTACAGCACATTCTGGCTTTCCGTCTGGGTGGAGGCTTATAATCACAAGGCTCACGTTGACATTGCTTATTATCTAGGGATATTTGCTCTGTTGATATTCCTCGAGGTCGGTTCGTATGCCGTGGTCATTATCGTGTTTGAGTGGGGGGCCTGGATGGCTGCTCGCAGACTGCACAATGACTTTATTCGAGCAATTATGCGTGTCTCCCTTTCGTGGTTCAGGGCCATACCGATTGGCCGCATCACCAATCGCTTCTCGGGAGACATGGCCTCGATCGATGGACAGATAAGCAATATTCTTCGGCTGACGCTCGATTCGGTCGTGCAATTGATCTTCCGTATCGCTGCCGTGAGCAGCATCATGCCTATTTTCGTTTTGCCAGCCCTTTTTACATGCATGTTTGGCGTGGTGGTTGGAGAAATGTACACCCGCACGGCTGTTGTCATCAAACGCCTCACATCTTCTGCTCAGTCTCCCGTCTTCTCCCAGTTCTCCGATACTTTGGCAGGTCTCCCAGTTATCAGAGCGCGGGCGGGAATGTCGCAGGCATTCGTGGAGGAGCTGGCTGCCAAGATACGGGTGTGGACTGCATCTGCGGAAGCCAACTTCAACTGCAACCGCTGGGTGGCTGTCCGGATTGATTTTGTGACGGCTCTGGTGGCCCTGTGTGCTGGTATCATTGCTGTGTCCAAGGTTGGGACAGTCGGCGCTGGCCTGGTTGGTTTCTCGCTCAGCAATGCCAGCGGACTGAGTCAGACGATCCTTACGATTGTGCGTGCTATGAATGATCTCGAGGTTGAGATGCAAAGTGTAAGCCGGTTTTTCGTCTCCTTTTCTTTTCACCCCCTTTTGGCAGTGGCTCACCGTGGGCACCTATACTCGACCTTGTGAGTATTTCACGCTAATACAGAGTACTCTGAATTAGTTTCACCGTGTGAGTGAGTTTGTCAAGTTAGAGCCAGAAGGAAAGAACGACGAAACATACGCTGAGGAGGGCGCATGCGCTGATGAGGGAGAGCATGTCATTCCCAAGGCATGGCCAAGTTCAGGCGACATCGAGTTCAGAGATGTGACAATCCGCTACAGCCCCGACGGACCGGATATTCTCAAGAATGTAAACCTACGGTTTAAAGCTGGTGAAAGAGTGGCTGTTATTGGCCGCACTGGCTCAGGGAAGAGCACGGTAAGTTAAGGGAACGTGGGGAGCACTAGAGGCACTAATTGATATGCTGACATTTCTATGCCTACATAGCTCATGTTGTCGCTTTTGCGGTTCACGCATATCGTGTCTGGTCAAATACTCTACGATGGAATCGACATTACCAAGGTGCCCCGACGCAGACTACGGGAAGGCCTGACCATCATTCCCCAAGAAGCAGTTCTTTTCAATGGCTCTGTTGAGACTAACCTTGATCCTACTGGGAAGGTGCCGAGAGATGTTCTTAGTCATGCCTTGGATAATTGCAAAGGTATTGCTTCATTCTCTGATGATGATAGCGACGATCCCGATTCCCGTCACGAGGACGCAAGTGTCAAACTATCCACAGAGGTTGTTGCTCGCGGCGAGAACTTTTCCCACGGGCAACGACAGGTGCTTTCGCTCTGCAGGGCACTGATCAGACGAAGCAAACTAATGCTACTCGATGAGGCAACAGCCAGTATGGATTACGAAACGGACCGAGGTATCCAGAGTGTGTTGCGTAGCGAATTAGCAGCTGCCGGGGGAGACAGCACCTTGGTCACTATTGCCCATAGGCTACGCACAATAATTGACTACGATACGGTTGTGGTTATGAGTGCGGGCAGGGTCGTTGAGTAAGTAATATATGGGCTACCCTCAGGAAAGGTTATTGATATTGACTTGCCTTTTTTTCAGACTCGGCCCGCCCAAGAGTTTATACAAAACCAAGGGCTATTTCTATGACATGGTCTACAACAGCGGCGAGATGGAGGAGCTACACGAAGTTCTTGAAGGGCAAAATGAACTATAAATTAGAAATATATGTAAATGAGCAGGCCAAACTAACACTTTGGGAAAATTTAGCGTCTGATGGAAGACATATTAGGTATGTATACGACAGGTAGATCGCAGAAGATAAAGTTGAAAACAGACGCTCCCAAGTTAAATTATGCCCCCAGCCCCGCCGCTTTGCTTCATTGTTTTATGCTTGGGAGCCTTTTTTTACACCTCTCATGATTGCAGACTTGATGCCAATGTCTCCAATCCTCTTATGATAAACGGTAAAGAATCCTCAGACAAGACAGCCCGTCCGTCAGTTTATACATCGGCGTTATACAAGTATAAGATATTGTTACAGGAAAGTCTCAGCCTTGTTTCCTTGGTGCTGGCTCTACAGTGACACTGGGGTCATGCCCAATGCACACGGCAGTGGCATAATCCCCATCATGGCTGATGGAAATCATGGCGCTCGAGTCACAGTCGTCCCCCGGCTCGCCCTTGATCCGAGCCACCGGGGGCCCGCTGCCCAGCCGCTCCTCGTTGCGGCCTCGTCTCTCAATGATTATGTCGTGAAATGTGAGTCTACGATGTGAGTGTGCCTTGATGGCGGCCTCCTTGGCAGCGAACCTGGACAGATTTAGCACAAGGGTTGCCGACTTACCCCCCTCCCCCTGGGGAGGGAAGAGTGAAATCCGGGGAAGAGAAATCAGAGCGGAACGGGGAGCATTATATCCTCTTACCTGCCAGCTATGAACGCCGCCGTCTTCCAAAGCTCGTCATCACGTGAACCTCCCGACAGAACTGCCGAGACTGACGGTGGTACATGGGAGTTACGATCGCCCTTTGCCCCAGGGGAGCCGGCCAGGCGGCCTGTCCTGAGCGGTAGGAGGCGCGAAGCAGCGGCGGCCCTCTCGTGGGGGCCCAGGATGCGGTCGACGAAGCGGGCGGCACGGGGCCCCTCGAGGATGCGGCGGATGCGACTGATCTGGCAGATGTCGGTTCCCACGTTGATGGGCAACGGGAAGGCCCTCAGCGGCCGCATCTGCTGTTTACGACGTCTCTCTGGCCTCCCTCGGCAGAACTGTCCAGAGGTCAAGCAAATGATATTGCCTGCCTAATCAAGCGTTGCGCACTCACAGGTCGTATCGCATTTTCATTGGCATCGTGGCTAGGAACGGGTGAGCTGAAGTCGATGGAGTCCACAAAACCTGCAGTGGGTCCTCAGGGCGGAACTCTTGCGCTTCCATAAGTACCGATACCTCTTGTGTCACCTCCCTGCCGGCCCCAGCCAGTACATGTACTATGCTAAAAATGGATGTGGAGTGCGGGGAATGGGGAAAGCCTCATACGTCATAGAAAATGGCATGCCAGACGCGACTTTCCGAGACTCATCGCGATCCGAGGCATCGGAGGAAATGGTCCATGTCAAGTGAAACATGCTTGGTTCAGAACTACCCTGGAACTATATGTTCATTAACTATCCAGACAAGTGGGTGACAGGAGAAATGAGACACCTAATGGAAGAGTTAGTTATAAACAGACTACTCAATAGACAAATTCAGTAGTATAAAATGAAAGTAAGTGATAATATCCGCTATATTGTCTCCGTGGTATATATTATTAGCACTCAATAATTTGATAATACCGATTGCAGACTTGAAAATAAGCAGCTTATTGTTTGAGTGTCTCAATTTCAATGTCACCCACTTGCCAGAGTAGGACATCAATTGAGGAGAAAAACAACACAACAGTAGCCAACCAAATGCATAACAGATCAGAGTTCCGAAGCCGGAGGAATTCATGTGATTCAAAGACCAAAATAACTGATATCCTTCTTTCTCAGGTCCAGACCTCCCGATGCTTTTGCCATGGAATTTTGCTCTCAAGGTTCGGTGAGCAGGGGAGCGCGTTCTCCGTCGGCTGGGGCAGATCGTTTCCAGAAGACCTCGCGTCCTGTCCAAGCTGGGACGGCCACGGTGACGGTGGCAATGAACAGCAGGGCCATGATGATGAAAGCGAAGATCCACTGTAGAGCAATGACCTGATGGAGAAACTGTGCGACGCCAATTGAAGCGGAAAGTACGCTGAGGGCAAAGCCGATGGTGTAATCCTACATCGCGAGCATGTCAGTTGGTGTACGGTTTTCTACGTGTCGTTCCACGTACCTTGTAAATTATGATGAAGAAGAGCCCATAAACCAAAATGGCCCAAATGAAAATGTTTCCAAAGATTCGAGGGACCAGATGGTGGGGGTGGCGGATCATGAGAGCGCCATTCCAGTAGATGGCCACAAAGGTCCAAGCCAAGGGTCCGGAGACAACGGGGGCGTGGATAAAGCGAGGGTATGTGTTGTGGCGGAAGTAAAGAGAGCTCAGGTTAAAGAAGTTGAGAACAAGGATGAGCTCTGCCCAGATGAAGTGGGAGCGGACAAAGAGCATGACGAATGCGAAATGGAAGAGATTGTTGAGGATGAAGTGGCTGCCGACACTCGCTGCGGCGTGAACGTGCTCGGCGTTGGAGGAGAAAAGATGGGTGAGGTACCCAAACTGCAGGATGAAGAGGACGACCCAGTATATGTTTCCAATGACGGAATTCAGGGTAAAGGCAGTGCGGTAGAGGTCATTCTGGTCCCAGATACGCCTGCGAATTGTGAATCCATCGTGAGGCTCGTTGATAACATAGTAGACAGAGACGACAACGGAAAGGAGCCAGGTCAGGAGGGTGAGGACCTTGTAGGTGGTGACAGCCCCCGAGCCGTAAGACTCTCGCCTGCTGAAGGGATTGGCTACAGGAAGAAAGATTTCGTTTAGTAATGGGTCAGAGAGGTAGCACGATGAAGTAGGTACTTACTCCAGTTAGCCATGGCGGCGACGTCGAATACCTATATCAGACCTTCTCAATGGACAATTGATCAGAAATAGTCGATGGCAAAGAAGCACATGCAGTTAGTTGTAGGGGAGGAATTGGAGTGGGTGACAGGAAATGTTGGGGGAGGGCAGGACGGGAAGAGGGAGGCAGGTCTAATATATGGATGGGCTACCTAATGGCTTCATGGATGCATGCATCTGCGTACAAGGACAGACGTACTTACGTACCTGCAAGGCGAGAGCTACGCAATGATGAGAGGGGCCTGGCCCGGGTTGGTGTGGGCTAAGACCAAAACCTGAACGTGGAGGTGTTTGCTAGCCTTGTATGGCACCGGAGATTTTGTACTTGCATACACCCATATCCATTTACCCATTACCAGTACGTAAAATAAGTTTGCACCCTGAGAGCAGCTATGTACGACGGCAAGCGACTGACATAAAACATGGCACACCCGGAACCTCTAGCGTTGAGGTTTTAACACATTACCAAAAATGATTAACCTAATAATAAATAGAATATTAAGCTAAATATTATAGAATAATTTATTATTCTCTTATTATTGTGTTTAATAATGAATAAAGACCCTACCTTATGTAAAAAGAGCCTTGGTGTGCCATGTTTTATGTCAGCCACTTGGACGGCTTGAGAGGTGACAGTAAGAGTGGGGTGGGAGGGCGGAGGCGGAAGATGGTGTTTGGTGTCTATGATGTTCAACGACTTGCCCCTAGACATGTACATACAGGCCATGCCACAGTAAACATTACGTAGACTGCTGGATTGCTGAGCACGCGACCAGTTCCGAGATCGGGATTAGTACTCGGTCCATATCTGCTAGATTAGAGAAACCCCCATGATGTTAATTTGTATAAACCTTGGTCTCTACATACGGAGAGAATTGGTGGGCGGGAATCGCGATGCTCAGCTACATTCCAGCTGGTGCCGGCATCTAAAGGGGCATAGTGGCGCGATGTTGTGTGCGTCACGAAACCAGCATTGTCCGGGCAGGTGATACACCAGGATATTCAGATGTATCCATATGCGGGCAAGCATCTTCCCCCAGAAGACACTCGACAGGTGACCTCGACCAGAAGAGGGGAAGCCTGGTATCGACCCGGGAACTGCCAAAGTCTGTCCACCCCCCTTTCCGATGCTCTCGTTTTTGGCTTAACGGCTCTTGACTGCGTTGCGCGTATATGCCGGGTGTGGTAGCAATATGCATCCCATATTGCAACGGATGGCCCTGATCTACTGCACCAAGCTTTAGGCAATGCTACCTGTATGCTTTTCCCTGCATGAATGGTCGGCCTCAGGTGTCGTATCGGCATTGGTCAAATCGGGGCTTGGATAGGGGCGTACGCCGATAGCATCTACCTTGTTGCGAAACCGTGCGATGGGAAATAAATAAATTCATGGCTTTGTTCGCTTCCAGTTCTCAATATTGAGACCAATTCCACAGCGTTCAGGCCTACAGGGGAGACATGGCCTGTGGACCAGCAACGGTGGCCGCCATGACGGTGCTTCAGTGGGTACATGCACCTGTAGATTCTGGGCTACAGTAGCCGGCGGCAATGGCAATGCATTAAGCACATCCACTCTCTGACGTTCTTCGCACGAAGGAGACCTGCTGCGGCCTCCATGAGCCAATTGGAAACAATCGACAAGTTCTTTTGCTATGAGTGAGCATTTAGCTTGTGTTAGGCACACTACGGGAGGTTGCTTACACCTGGGTTGGTGATCGAGATCTGCTGGGCCCGCCTCTGCACCATCACATCACCATTCCCATTGCCCATCGCCAAAGCTGCCAATCCCCGAACCAATATTTCCTGAATCTAGGACTTGCGAGACATCCTCGTCCACCTGTTCTACATTTCCCTGTTTAAAGACATATCATCCTAAACCTGGTACGAACTCATGACTACAGGCACAACTTTGGTACTATTCAATAAGAAGCTCAGTGAAAATGACATACATCTTGATTCATATTTCCCTAAGCTCTGAGATGTAAGCAGCTTGGCATATCATGAAGTTTGAACGCTCCATCTATAAACGCCAAGAAACTATTGAAGCTCCTTGAACCACCCATGCCGGAGGACCTCGTCACTTCTGGCCATGTACCGTATAATATCTTCGTTCACCACTAACAAATCCAAATGAAGCGCTTTCTATAGCTGTATTCTCTTTTCTTATTTCTTCGTCAACAAATCATTCGGCCAACCATACAATTATATCATCCACATTGCCTTTAGTCTCTTTCTTGCTACTTCAACCTGTATTCACTGGCGTTGCTTCCCTGGCTTTGGCCCTGGGAATACGATGGTATAGGGCAGTATAGGGTAGCCGCTGATATACTGGCCAGAGCATAGCGCCCCGCCGACTCGCTCCCGGCCCCTGTGGCCACTTCAACCTGCTAAACCTGGCAATCAACGGCGCGGTGATGTGCAACCAGGGCAGGTAATTAAACTATTTCCACGTAACCGTATCAGATTGCTCGGATCTTATTTTTGCATCTCCGTATATCGTCCTCTGCGCCTCGCGTCCCTCGTTCGCTCGCCTCTCCTCGGCAGACCTTGACCGACAACGGCCTCTTTTATATTCGCATGTTCCTCTGCTTGCAGTTCACCGCGACTCCGTCTCTACGCTTCCCAGAATGAGTTGACAGAATGATGTTCCCTGGCCTCCTCTCCTCGAGCGACGGGTCTTCGTCGAAACGGTCAAAATCCCACACCAACGCCACCACCTCCACCAGCAGCAAGGCCAAGGACCATCACCATGCCTCGCTCCCCGGCTTCATCTTTGAAGAGTCGCAGCTGCCCCCTCCCCCGCCCGAGGCCCCTGATCTGCGGGAGCTGAACAACAGTCTCGAGGCCCTTGCCGCCATATTTCCCGACGTCCAGATCGAAGTCTTTCGCGAGCTCCTATCCAACTTTGATGACGAGTCACGTTTGGCTGTCGTCGCCGATGCTCTGCTCAAGAACCGTGTCACCTGGGTCAAAGGTCGGTGGAGGGTGGAGAAGAAAGGAGAGCAGTCCGAGGCTTCGATCCCTACGGGCGAACTCTTCCGAAGCAAGGAGTATATCAAGGCCGTGCAGTCCCTTGCCCTCCACGAATTCAAGGGCCTGCCACGTTCTACGATCCACGCTGTGCTTGCCGAGTCCAACTACTCCTACTTGGATGCTCGTCAGACCCTGGTCACGTTGTCATCTAAATCATGGCGATTCACCATATCTGCGCTTTTCCTGCGCCGAAAGGCGGTGGCTACAGGCGAGGCTCACCAGCACCCTCTTGTCGTCTGGCGGTCATCCGGCCATGGCTCCATTTTCCCCGCCATCCGGGCAACGGGGAATGCGCAGCTGGACCGTGAGCTCTTCTCCCAACTCATTGTGCCCATCAAGGAGCGCGAGAAGCAGGAGCGCGAAGCCAATGACCGCGACCTGGCAGTTCAACTCAACAACGAGGAAGCCGAGGCTGCAGATGCCACACATGAGTGTGCATGCTGTTTCATCCCCGGCGCATTCGAGGAGTTTACGAACTGCAACAGCGAGGGCCACATGATTTGCCGCCGGTGTGTGCAGCACTCGATCAAGGAAGCCGTCTTTGGCCAGGGCTGGCTAAGCAGCATCGACCCTGACACTGGCACCCTCAAGTGCATAGCAGCTGATGGGAGTGGCTGCTTGGGTCATATCCCGAGTGACCATATCCGGCGGGCTATGGAGCACGAGAGTAAAGGAGACGAGATCCTACGCAAGCTCGACCAGCGTCTCGCTGAGCATAGCCTGCTCGCCTCCGGCTTCCCTCTGATTCGTTGTCCATTCTGCAACTACGCTGAGATTGATGACATTTACATGCCACCCAAGGTCACCAGAATCCGACTTCGTCTCGACAATGTTATCCCCCTCACGTTCCTCTTGATCTGCATGTTGTCGGCTCCGATTCTATCACCAATTATCGTCATAGCCACAGTATTCTGCCTAATGTTCAGCTCCCAGCACTTATTTGGAGGCCCTGTCTCCGTCGAATGGAAGAAGGCCGTCAACCGTCACCGCCGTCGAGCTCGCGGTCTCAAGTTCACCTGTCAGAATGCGGAATGCGCGCGGACATCCTGCCTTTCGTGCAACAAGGCCTGGGCTGACGTCCACGTCTGCAACGAATCATCGCTTGTTGCACTGCGCACTCAGGTGGAGCAGGCCATGAGCATGGCCGTCAAACGCGTCTGCCCCCGCTGCAACACGTCCTTCGTCAAGAATGCCGGGTGCAACAAGCTGACCTGTCCCTGCGGGTACAAGATGTGCTACGTCTGCCGCGCTGATCTCGACGACGAGGGATACCGCCATTTCTGTGATCATTTCCGCCCCGACGGCGATCCGACCCCTTGTAAGGAATGTGATCGTTGTAACCTTTGGGAGTCGGAAGACACGGAGAGGATCCTCCGCGAGGCCCGTGAAGAGGCCGAGCACAACTGGAAACAGAAGGAGAACCGCGATCTTTCCGGGGCCGACGTCGCCTTTCTGGAAACCGGCTTCGCCGCAGGCAAGAGAGATAAACCGGCAACGAAATATTCCAGTCGTTGGTCGGTGCCTACTCTAGGTGAACTGTTTGATTTCGTCTTGAACACCATATTCATGTGAGAGGAAGCGAATAATCTGCCATTAAGCAAATAAAACCCAAAAACGCCCCCCCCAAAAAACTCCAAAAAAGAAGGACAACCAACCAATGGATGAGAGGAGTTTTGGGCGTTGATCTCAGACAGAACTCATGGGATGCTTTCCAGAAAGAAATCCCTTTTCTTTTCCCCCCGGAATACACTGTGCTTTATTGTTTACTTTATACAAGCGTGTACATACATATAGCGGCGTTAATGGATCGTTAGGACGGACAGACATATACGTAGAGCCGGATGGGAGTGCTCCTCAGCGAGCGACACCACTCTGTTCCACTCACTTATTTGATTACAATCATCATTATCACTAGTACAGCGACCCAAAAATTGAGGTATAGAATGCTACAAGACCCTACATCGGATGGATTCACGAAGCGGAAGAGGATGGATAACACACAATAGCTGGTCTTGGCTTGCATTTCAGTAGAACACTTATTAATATACACGGGCTCGTCACCACATCCACCCCGGTTATCCAAAACACATCATTCTATCGTAGATGGGAAAAAAAGAGCAGTTGTCAAAAACAAGGATCGCGTTGATTTTAGATTTTACTCTTGTCGCCCTGCACGAGCTCGGCTGCCGCGCCGGCGATGACAACCTTGTCGGTCTCCTTGACCTTGGTCTGGAAGGTGACCTTGTTGCCATCACGCCACATTTCCGTGACGAGCGTCTGGCCAGGGATGACGGGGCCGGCGAATCGGACCTTGATGTTCTTGAAGGGGCCGTACCTGGAAACTGAGGTCAGAAAACCTGATACGATTATTAGGGTGATGGGGTAAAGTGGCGTTTCTTACTTTTCATATACGGCCTTTCCGGCGAAACCGAACGAGCAGAGGCCGTGGAGGATAGGGGCCTTGAAGCCGCCCATCTTGGCAAAGGATGGGTCGATGTGAAGAGGGCTGGAAAGAGTTAGTTGCTGATTGACTTCCATTAGAAATCTTTTCTTACTTGTAGTCTCCGCTTAGGCGGTAGATGGCTGCCTGGTCCGGCCTGGTCCCGGCCTCGACGACAGCGTCGGGTGCGCGCTTGGGGGGTGGGTTGGCAGCCGTAGCAGCGCCTCTGTCCTTGCCTCGCTTGGGGCCGCCAAAACCACCGCAACCGCGGAGGAAGACCGTCATCTCGTTGTAGAAGACCTCCTCTCCGGTCTCGGCAATTGTGGTGGTGACACCGTTCTTCAAGATGGCAGATTTTCCCTTGTCGACGACCTCGAGCAAGCGGGCCTTGGAGATGAGGGTTGAGGCAGTAGGGAGGGGCCACTTGCGGACTTCGAGATACTGCTCGCCGTGGAGCAGCATCATGGGGGAGAAGTTTGGCACAACGGCGTCGTAGTCAAATGGCATCTCGGCGTTGAAGGGGGGGATGACGCCGAAGGTTGGTAGAACCTGAAAGTCTTCAGAGCCTTCAAAGACGTACTTCAGGTCGGTTTGCTTGGCTCCGATTCCGAGATTGTAGAGGATAGCATCACGTTCGTCGTACTTGAATTCAGTTGGTTTGCCTTCTTCGCTGAGCGCCTTCTTGATGGCATCTAGGTGTTCATTGCTGGCAGCACCCCCCTCCTAAGCAAACCCACTGTTAGCATAGGAAAAGGTTTTTTCACAAACGACAAGTACATGATTGATTTCTAGTGCTAGACAAGGGCATTATATACAAGAGATCAGGTCTCGATTGGAATATTTCATACCTTGCTCTTATTGACCTTGTTTTCCAAGTTGGCCATGACCTTGGAGAGAGAGTCCTGCATCTTCTCTGGGTGATCAGCGCTGGGGCTTTCAAAGTTAACAATGTCGGCCCAGTGCTTGACCACCTCCTCAGGCACCAAATCCTGGTCGACAGGGAAGCCGTGGCCACCGGCTCGCTGCCAGCGAGTGCGGCCAACCCAACCGCTTCCAACCTCGTAGAGCCCGCCAGTAGGGTCGGGGCACTTATCACTGCAGAGAGCAAGGACGACAGGAGCAATGTAGTCAGGCTTGAATGCTTGGATCAGCTCCTCTGGCATGATCGTGGCAGTCATGGCAGTGCCGGCGTTAGGGGCAATGGTGTTGACGAAGATGTTGTACTTGAAGCCCTCGATAGCCAAAGCACGGGAGAAACCGAGGATACCGCATTTCTAGTAACGTTAGTATCAATCGGACAATTTGACCAAACTTAGGCGCTTTGACTTACCGCGGCGGCATAGTTGGCTTGGCCAAAGTTTCCGTAGATGCCACTCGTCGAGGTGGTGTTGATCACACGGCCATACTTTTGCTTGAGGAAATAAGGCCAGGCAGCCTTGGTGACTTTGTATGTGCCACGGAGATGGACATTCATAACAGGGTCCCAGAGATTGTCATCCATGTTGGTGAATGCCTTATCCCGGAGGATACCGGCGTTATTGACAACAATGTCGACGCGGCCAAATGCGTCAATGGCACCCTTGACCACAGCATCGCCATCCTCGGCAGAGGCCTTGACACCAACGGCCTTGCCGCCCAGCTTCTTGATCTCCTCGACAACTGTATCGGGGTTTACCAGGTCGTTAACTACGATTGAGGCACCATGCTTGGCAAACGCCAGGGCGTAAGCTCGGCCGATGCCTGCACCTGCGCCAGTAATCAATGCAACCTTGCCGGTGAAATCAATCTTCTCACCCTGCTCACTGGGACCCAGCTTCAGGGAGTCTTCCAAGAGGGTTAAGAAGTCATTGGGGCCAGATGGGTACTGTGGTTGAGAGAAGTCGACGACCTTGTTCCAGTTCTTGATAACAGCGCTGGGGGTATAGGAGTCGTCGGGCTTGAGGAGAAGACCGCTTGATCGTTCCCATCGAAGCTTGGCCATGTGACCGGCACCGACCTCAAAGATGCCACCGGTCTCGGTTGTGTTGCTCTTGTGGACCAGGGTAGCAACGAGGGGTACAACCCAGTCGGGTCTAAGGTGTGCAAGCATATCGGGTGGCATCACTGTCTCTGTCATACGGCTAGCAGCTGCAAAGTAGGTGGTTAGTTGGACTAGATCTCAAATGACTAGGTGCGAGGCAATCTGCAAACTTACCGATTGGGGCAATCACGTTGGCCAAGATGTTGTACTTGATGCCTTCCTTGGCAAGGGTTTCTGTGAAGCCGACCATGGCGAGCTTGGCCGAGGAGTAGTTGGTCTGGCCGAAGTTTCCAAACAGGCCAGCAGCCGAGGCTGTATTGATGACACGTCCGTACTTTTGTTTTCTGAAGTGTGGCCAGGCAGCGCGAGCGCACTTGTAGGCACCCTTGACATGGACCTTGTTGATAAGATCCCAGTCTTGGTCTGTGATGTTCTTGAAGCTGACATCGCGGAGGATACCAGCGTTATTGAGGAGGATGTCGATGCGGCCAAAAGCCTTGATAGTAGTGTCGATGATGCGGTCGCCGAACTCGACGCTGTCGTAGTTGGCAACGGCCTTGCCGCCAGCGGCTCGGATCTCGTCGACTACGACATCAGCGGCCTACAGAGCGGCGCACGATGGTTAGCAATAATCTATAGGCATTGCGCGTCCGGCATGATGCGGATGGGAATTGCGGCAAGCACGGGAGGACAGCTCACCTTTGCGGAGTTTCCCTCGCCCTTGAAGGAACCGCCGAGGTCATTGACAACGATGCTGGCACCGCGCGAGGCGAAAAACAGGGCGTAGACCTTTCCAAGACCGCCGCCGGCACCTGTGACGACGACGACCTGGCCGTCGTATCGCAGCTGTTCTGCCATGGCTGTAGAGTGTTCTTTGTGAGTATTGTTCTCCGGCGATAGTACAGAAGAGGCTGGCGTGTCCCGTTATCTGCAGTCGGAACCTGGGATGGATGGGGATTGGGAGAGAGCGGCTGATGGTTCGGTTGAGGATGTGGTTGTGGTGGAGGAGCCGACAGCCTTTAACAGGAGAATGGATGCAATGCGTTTGCGGCAGGAGCTCCCTGCTGATGCGACGGAAGGTGCTGCAACGAGCCTCGGCTCCAGGCTAAGAACCGCTGCGGGTACCGAGGGGAATTTCCGGGGGAGGCGCTAGGCCCAACCGGGCTTCGGCCTTTCGTCACATGTAAAACCGCAGTTACGTACTACTTCCACGGAGGGTAATTCCTTTGACATGAACTGCTCCACTGCTTATGGAACAACTCTGAATCGAACTCTCTCTCGCCCAGTCACGGGAGAGCCGGTCATGTGCGAGGTGCCTTTGCAGCCACCCGGGCCAGGCCATTCCTGACCTGGGACCGCTATCGTGATGACTTTGGCCGGGCCTGTCACATGGTTCCGCCCGCTCTTTCGCTTGGTAGGGTTTCCCATATGCCAGGGACTGAGGTCACTAGATTGGAGAGGAGCCATCTTGGACCGAGAAGAGCGGATAGTAGCGAAGGCCGTCCTTACACATGCGCATGTACCCTTGTACCCTAACTTCGCTTCTTCAACAAACCGTCACAGCTTCCTACCACTTGAATGAACGGATTCCCTAGACTAACGACAAACCATCCCCGGCTGCATCTGGCAACATGATTGGGTTTCTATCTGGCTGGTATCCCTATATGCGGCCGCAGACGGTGGTTATTGCCTGCACTGGATCAAAGCTCTAAGCCCTCGGCAGTCTCTTTCCCCAATTTGCCCCAAAACCGAGGAGAATTAACCAGTACTGGTACCCCGCATTAATCGCTAAATGCCCACCGTCGTTCCCTAGCTCCACTACCGACGGAGATCACAGCTACGGATCTTTGCGAATGAGGAACTGGCTACGCTGCTGCCCGTGCGCGAATGTTCACTTTAGGTGTGTGATCCGATGTAAGAGAAAGGCTTAGCCGTTCATTGGCCGGGTTTCACTGTCATTCCCTTTCTGTCACTATTTAATATTTTAGTAGTTCAGTGGAAATAAGTCACAGACTTGACTGGGCAGTATATTGTTGACGGGGAGTGAGTAGATATCTCAAGACATAGTAAAGATCGAGCGTGAACATGCTAGGGAGAGAACCCAAGGAATCCTTGGTATTGAATCGAGGTGTCTTTCTAACCCAGCCAATGTATGCGTACCCAGCATCTAGAACGGCACATTGTAACGAGCCACATTCATGGATATCAACAGCTGCAACCGCAATCCTTGCAATCCCCGCTGCTGCATCTGTCGTCGATGCTGCAATCGCCGTCGTTTTTGCATTTCTTCCATCCGTTGGAAGAAGTAACGGTCCAGCACCAATTCCCGTTACCCGCGGGCTCGCCACACTGCCTGAAGCAGTGCCCTCCCTTGCTGCAGCCAACAGCTTTTTCGTAATAGCAAGCCTGAGCGGATAATGGCTTCAATCCTTCGATGATGCCCGATGAAGGGGATTTGCCTGGAGCGACGGGAATGCCGGCACCTAACCCAGTGCTGATGAGGCCAAAGGCAACGACGGCGTTGATGAGGGGGAGCTGCATTTTTATTGAATAAATTTTGGCTGTAAAAGACTGGACAGCTATGACTTGATGCTTTCTATTGTCTTTTGAGAAATTCTTGGCTTTATAGAGAGTTGATTGAATGAAATTGTGCCTGAGCTGGTGTGATGAAAACTTGGACGCAATAACAACGGTACTTATACTTGACCGCTGGACTTTGAGGAGCCCCTTTTCTAAGACTGAGAGTCATGAAAGGTCACGGATGATTTTCAACAAGGGAGATTTTTTTCGGTATCGGAACGGATGTGTATGAAACATTATCGGATAGTTGAGATCAGTATCTGGTTGTGCCAGCCCTTTCTTGAGCCTCAAATGATTATGCGAACTCACGCGACCCTAAGAGGGAATTATCAAGAGGTAGAGTCTCTCAGTTATCTTGGCATATAATTTCTGATCTCTGTTCCGAAATATTGGTGCATCGGTAGGCAGCTGAATGATGAGAAGTCCTCCTGTGATAACACTTGATCCGAAGGCTCACTTCCGTATGAGCATTCCTGCTCGACGCAGCATTCCTGTCACTACGATAGAAACCTGCACTTCAAAGTTGTTGGAGATGATTGACGGCGTATTTGAACACTTTTTACCACATTTAGGAAGCCAGGATGATTTTCATGGAACTTATGTTCCGAGTGGCATGTTGGTTACGTAGACCGCTTAGAGAGAAGAGACCGACGAACCAGATTTTTAATCAGACCGAAAGAAAATTGGACATCAAGCTTCCTAGGCCTATTCATTTTCGCATAGGCTGGAAAGGACTCGTATATATATGATGGATACACATGTACTACCAAGCCTTGTTCCTGTATGCTACGGGGAATCACTGGGCTTTCCTATAGCATTCTGGCCGTCAGAAACAGATCAATGGAACCGGTATGCGAAGATGTCTCACCCCGAAGCAGGACCATGTGACACAGAATTCCTCGGCGCTCTATAATGTATTTATCCCAAACTTGTGGGCCACTGTGCGCTTGCAACTGATGTGTCAACAATGGTATGCTCTGTTTGAGAGTCCTCAACAGCAATAGATCTGCTTTCATTAGCATCGAATGTAGTTATATCAGTCTGGGGTATCTTACAGCTCTTCCAATGCATTACTTGTTGTATCGACTAGTTCTTGCAACTCAGACAGCCATGGGTGACGCAAAGCCTCGGATGATGAGGGCCGGCTGTTGGGCGAGCGAGCCATGATATTCTCCAGAAACTCCACACAGGCTTCATTGGCACCAAGCTCTAAGGCTGTCGCGCGAGGAAATGGGTGACCTGCCGTAACATATTTTGCTAAGTCACGAGGGTCGCCGAATAGGATCTCGTTGGTGAGCAGCCTGTATATGATTGCCCCTAGTGCCCACAGATCCACGGAGACTGTATATAAATTATAGGAATCGTCTAGCGTCTGGCTCGAGCTGATGCTATCCATGTCAGCTGTGGAATAAATGCCAAGGATTTCTGGTGCAAGATATCCCCTCGTCCCAACAAACGTGCGGTACGCAGTGGCTTCCTCCTCAGCTCTTTTGGAAATCCCGAAATCACTGATCTTAACCCACCAGTTGGGTGAGGGTTCAGACACGAGAATATTCTAAAGAATCTTAGCATTGGTATAACAAATGATAAAGAGACAGTACAACGTACAGCGGGCTTCAGATCCCGGTGGGCGAACCCGTTCTCATGCATATATCCTAATCCCTCCAAGAGCTGAAAAGCAATCTGCTTCACTTCCTCCTCTGGGAATGGGCGTACCAAGTAGCTTTGAAGGTCGCCCTTCTCAATGTGCTCCATTGTAATGAAGATTGTGTTCTGACTCTCGTACCAGCCGAAGGACTGTACAAAGCAATGGACATACTGAAATATGTGAGCACATAACCTCGTTCAAGTCGCGAGTGTAAACACACCTTCGAGTGAGAAAATTTAGCAATGGCTTCCAGTTCACGGTTGTAATCAATTTCGCTCCTCTTCCCCTCTCGGTTCTTGGTGATCTCCTTGACCGCACGGAGCCTCCCTGTGTCATCTCCATCAAGGCGCTCCTCGAGCCAAACGCAACCAAAGGAGCCGCTTCCAAGCTTTTTTCGCCGCCTCCATGTTTCCTCCTTCTTCATACGGCGCTGGCGCATTCGTGGATTTGATACATACGATATGTGCCGGACAACACTTCCGTTGCTCGCAATAATCGTCTCGAGCTTCGAGTCTCTAACAAGATCGGAAACTACCTTGCCACTCCTTGTTGACTGCTCTGTAATCTTCTTGGATTCAGGCGCCTCGTTGGGTAGCGGTTCTTTCTCGCTTTCATTCTGTGCTCGCCCACTCTGCCGTCGACGATAAGCTTCCGTGATCGTGCTGCTGAGCTCAGTATCCCGGTTGAGATCGATGTTATCGAGATCAAGCCCTTTAAGAAGCCCTTCCTCTTGAATCTGTTGAATCTGCTGTGGAAACTCTTCCTCTTTAATCTGTTGAATCTGCTGTGGAAACTCTTCCTCTTGAATCTGTTGAATCTGCTGTGGAAACTCTTCCTCTTGAATCTGTTGAATCTGCTGTGGAAACTCTTCCTCTTGAATCTGTTGAATCTGCTGTGGAAACTCTTCCTCTTTAATCTGTTGAATCTGTTGTGGAAACTCTTCCCCTTGAATCTGTTGAATCTGTTGTGGAAACGCGTCCTCTTGAATCTGTTGTGGAAACTCTTCGATCTCCTCCTCAGTACCTATATCGGTGGTGCCAACTGGCCACCGAGCAGGTTCTTTGTTTCCAGATCGTTGAGTTCCCTGGTCGTTGTTCCCCGGTGAGGCCGACCCGAGGGAGGAAGATTCCACGGCTGTTTGTCGAGGATCAGGCCTCTCAAGAACCCTCTTCGGCCAATCCGTTCCGAAGCCATGGCTCTCGCCGCCGGTTCTCCGTCTGGCCCTGTCAAGATAAATCAACAAGGACCCCCTCCCGTTTCCGACCCTGATCTGCTGGTAGGAGTCCGTGAAAACCTCGGCGAATTGCGATGCAGCATCTACTATCAACTCTACCGTACTGATGAACGCTGAGGGATCAGCATGAAGGAGGAAGTCTATAAGCTGTAATGTTTTGAAGTAGGTCATCCAACGAGCCGGTTCACTAAGCTTCTCATCTACAATATACGATATCATAAATCCTCTGCGGGCTCCTGACCTACAAATCGCGTGTCAATATAGGATCGGCAATTGTGAAGCAAACGAGATGCAGGCAAAAGTGTAAGGGCTGGGATGCTACCTACCTTGAAGAAGATCCATCGCTTGCAGAAAATTCTCGCATAACCTTGGCAACCTCGTGAAACTTTTCCAAAGAGTTTTCCGAATTCTCGTTGGGCGTTACACTGTCCAGCATGAGTTTAAATCTATGCAGGTCCGTTGCTGGTCTTTTCTTTTGCAGTTTTCTTGGAGCTCGCTTCTCTGCTTCTTGAGTGCTACTCCCAGTAGCTACCGCAACGGCTGCTGCTGGTGGCCTTTTCTTCAGTAATTTATTCGGAGTCCGTTTCTGCACTTCTCCCTTTTCATCACCCCCCGTGGTAAACCCTGGAATAAATCTCTTCATGGTTGTGGGCTGTGTGGCTCTGGCTGGTTATATGCGCCGCCTGTATATTTCTTTGGATATTGTGTACGCCCCTGGTGGTAGATCTAGACAATAGCGACAGAATAGCCGGTGTCTCCCTGCGACAGTCGAAGCTCATCTCTCACGGATTATGTTGGCATCATCGCATGCTGATGCCTGCTGCATTTGATTGAGGCTGAGCGAGGGGGTCGAAACACGTTTAAGTGCATATGCATTAAAGTAATAGGCGTACAGAATCCGTTGCTTTATTATTGGCTTATACCTACAGCCATACAATCTCTTTATTTGGAGAAGACAGGCACAGAAAATATATTGGTTCTGAATAATATGACTATACCCCGCAGACTTGAAAATATAGCAGCATAGCGTCCAAGTCTATCAATTTCAATGCCACCTTTTAGATATCTATTCAAAATATAGCTCCGGCATTGCCTTACTCCAACTTGCCCCAGGCTAAGGACAAATTAGCTGCTATCAATTTAATCAATACCCCGCATTGCAATGCCCTCCGTGATTTCCGCTCCACCCGCGCGGAAGATACACCGAGAGCGGTAGTTTCTGAAGGATATTGCGGACATGGAAAGTTCCCGGTGGTGAATATATCCGAGGCATCCCAGCCGCCTCCGAAATCCGGGGGGAAGCTGCAAAACATCACCACCAAATTTCACGGGCTGCGCACACTCCTCGCCAATCAGGAAACTAACCGCCCATCATGGCTTCATTCGTAGATGACAAGACCCCCATCTGCGTGCCCTTCATCCTCGAGCAGCTCAGGTCCCATTCCACGTCGCGCCCGCTCGTCATTGGCCTCAACGGCGTCCAGGGCGCCGGCAAGACGACCCTGGTCTCGGCGCTTGCAAACGCCCTCGAGCAGGAGGGTGCTCCCACCTTGGTCTGTAGCATCGATGACTTTTACCTGAACCACGATGACCTGGTCGCTCTGGGCGGGCAGAACCCTGACAATGCTCTTGTGCAGCACCGAGGGGAGCCGGGTAAGTCCCGCCAGAGGTGTTAATCAGAGAGCTGTTCAATCAGTTAATCCTGCAAACAACTACGAGGTTTTGGCCCGCTGACTCTCTGCCCAATGAAGGAACTCATGATATGCCCCTCGCCAAGTCCGTCTTCACAGCCTTGATGGAGGGCAAGCCCACCAAGATCCCCGTTTACGACAAGTCGGCCTTTGCTGGCCACGGGGACCGGGCCCCTGAATCGCAATGGCGCTCTGTCAACCAACCTGGCCAGCCGCTGACCAAAGCAATCATCCTCGAGGGCTGGTCTGTTGGTTTCCGCAGCCTGACTCCCGATCAGGTGGAAGCAAAGTGGAAGGCCCCAAGCCGCACCCTGCGGAAGCACAAGCTTGAGCATCTCCTTTTCATCAACGAGAGGCTGCGCCAGTACGATGTATTGACAGACCTCTTTGACGCCTTCATCCATATCGACGCCGAGGACCTTGAGTTTGTCTATGGCTGGCGTGCGGAGCAGGAAGAGCACCTGAGGCGTGACAAGGGTGATCCCAATGCTGGCATGCCACCTGAGCAAGTGGTGAAATTCGTGGATGGTTATTTCCCTGCCTATGAGCTTTATACTGGTTCCCTGCGTCAGGGCGTGATTTCTGGGAAACCTGGAAAACAATTAAGGATGTCCGTTGGTCGGGATAGGAAGGTAAAGGAGGTGACAACGGTCTAATTTAACCCCCCCAAAAAGAACACCAACTTGTAGATAATTCTTATCTCCTTGAAGAAACCACGCACTTTTCCGACATGACTATAGAATTCAACCTCGGTTGGCCATCATTAATGCCAAGTGCGTCGTGAGCTGTTTAAATCACAGCCAACAGATGAACACCTCTTTTTCATATGCTCGCTCATGACGAAAAATAAAACAAAGCAGAAAACCTCGAAGCAGCCCAAAACTCCAACCAATGCCATAGGCACGCATGCATGCCTTAAAAATGTATGGATCCGATGTCAATCTTCGTATCTCCCGAGCGCACTTTTGCTCAACAACCACAACTACGGCCTATCACAGCGAGTTCGTGGTTTCAAACACTCTTCTAAAAGTCTTGGCCACCAATCACTCGCTGGCCATTGTGCTTCATTTTCTCGAGCTTCAGGTCAATGGCGTCCGACCTGCAGCGTACCAGCTTTTCCCGTGCAGCAGCCTCTGCTTCGAAAGCCTGGATCATTTGCCTTTTCTCCCTCCTTGCAATCTTCAGTCTCTTCATAATGTCGGCAAATTGGTCTACGAACCAATCACCCGATTCTTCCCAATCATTCATGGACATGTTGGAAAAGAAAGCCTCCTGGTCTTTCTCAGTCTGGTGTTTAAATTGCTCCAGGTTAGTGGATAAATCATCTGCATTATTTCTGTGCCCGTTTCTTAGGATGGCCTTGGAGGGGTCAAAATCGAAAGGTTCATTTTGCAAGTCGGCAAATGTCTTCGAGCTCAGAGCCATATCGTCATAGTCAGGACTTGTACGATGCCGCTTCTTGTTCTTCGTGAGATATCCTTGGGATACAGTAGGTTCGGGGAGGGCGCTCTCCATGAGTTCTTTGATGGGAAACGGCCTGGTCTTCTTAGGGCGGGGAGTTTCCTCAGGCTCGGGCTCGTCTTCCACGGACTGACCAGGGGCAGCACCCATTTCGGATTCGGAGATTTCGTCAAGAGCCTTATCATCAAGCCAGTGCGGAGGGCTTACCCGCTCAGGGCTCACACGCTCAGGACTAGGGCTTCGAGGCTTTTCCTGTATCGGGTGGAAATCCCTGCCACTGTCTCTAAGTCTTCGAATCTTGACTTCCCTAATAGCAAGTTTCGTGTGGCGATCAGCTGAAGGATCCCGACGACCACGACCATTCTGGTAATTCTCGGCGCTCTTTCGTGGCGCAGTCTGGAAACCGTCTCTCATGTACGAAGGATCAGCCCTTTCGGCAGTAGATTTGATAGTGATGAATCCATTCTCACCCATTTGAAAGATGTCATGATTGCGACTTTGGGGTGCCTGGTAAAGTCGGTCGCGGACATCTTTCGTTTTTGGGTATGCATTTCGTCCAGCATCATTGTGATCATCCTCAGTCAAGTGGCCCTCATCGTATGCTTCCTCGCGTTCATTTCGAGGGGTGGTAAATCCAGAATCAAGGAAGTTGTCTCCAAGCTGGGAGCCTTCGAATAATGTTCGCCTTGGCCGATTCTCGAACTTTGACCGGGCTGGAGAACCAGGTGAGAGTACCTGCGAAGGTCTCAGTTTGTTCTCGTCGGATGCTTTCCGCGGAGAGCTTTGGGCACGTTTCTGAGGAGACCCAGACCGTGCATATTTGCTGGCATTGGGAGGATGATTATGGTTCGCTGGAGGGCGTGTGGGTTTAGGGATGGGGACACGGGCGCTCTCAATAGCTTCTTCCCTCGTTTGGGGCGCAGATGAAATATGTGCATCAGGTTTTTGCTTGCCCTCGGGAGCCTCTTGGACAGTGCTAGGAATTTCATGCGGCGATTCGCCATCGGGAAGACCTCGAGCAAATGCTTGAAGCCTCCCACTTCTCTTCTTCAACGAGCTTCCAGGAGCCATGATGAGAACAAAATTTCGAAGGAAACCCCAGATATGTGATATGTATGCTTTCGGATTATTCAAAGCGGTTTGGGCGAGATTTACCTAAGGCGCCACGTCCCTGATAAGACCCAGGCTCCTGGTAATCAGGAACACAGCATTGATTGTTAAGGTGTGCTTCCGGAGGCTGACCATCCCCAGCCAGAACACGAAAATTGAAAGTACGAAGGATTAGGAGCTGCTGAGAATATGTCTAAGCACTGTTGCCAAGGCGGTTTACGTACCCATCCCCGTTGTAGTGGCAAGGAATGGGTAGCGATAGTTAATTGAGTCGCGTATTTGGAAGGCAGGAACTCTTTGTCGCGAAGTCAGGTGACCTCCCGTGTCTTTGATTGAGACCCAGCTACCCAAGCTTACGTAACATGTCACGGCTTCCTCATCGTACACGCATTTTAACGAGCAGGAAGGACATGAACTGAGTAACAGACTGCTAACTACCTTACTGGTGTTTGCATATTTGGCTTGACGCACTGTGAGAGGCAAGTAATTCTAAGACTTTTTTTTCTGTGAACTTATTTTACAATCTCAAAGGGTCAGCTTCATTTCCCATCTTCCTGAACCAAAACTCATTATCACGAATTTGCGAAGATACATGATCATTGGGTTTCCCCCCATCGTTCGCGATTCTGGAAAAAACCACATCGCGTATTAATCGTAATCTTGGACTCGTTGATCAAAAACAATATAACCCAGCCAACCCCCAGGCGTGACCACAAACGTTCGTCAAATCATTGGATACTACCTAGTACTAGGCTCTCCCTTTCGTGCCTTTCATGCTTCATAAGTTTCTCGTTCCTGCACTAAAAAATCATTCCCAAACGCACCTTCGATAGGGTATCTGATTGGCAAACGAAATTCGCCATTCGGAAGCAACCACGTCTACTCGGACATCAGGTGCGAGGGTTTGCAAAGAATCAAATCAATCCTCATCCGAATCACTCATCACCGAAGCTTCGTGTATTTCTCCACAGTTAGGGCAATACACCTCCTCGTCTGGGGTCGACTTGTCATCCTTGACCTCTTGGCCACCATAACGACAAAATTGGACCCAATCGCGAACCTTAGAATCACGTGAGATTGGCACACGCTTCCAGATGACTGAGTCCTCGTGTCTTGAAGATTGAGGGTGTCCAAACTCAGGCGGAGCAGCTGGCATGATCCCTATCTTAGTATGATTATGATGCATGAAGAAATCCTCTTGGCTCTCAATATCAGACCAAATGTCCTCATCATCTTCGTCGTAGGCCCGGACTACCCGGCTTACGTTCCATACTTCCCCGGGAAGTGATCTGAGTGATCTGTTGCAAACTGCATGGAATGCTGCATCGCCCTCAAGATAAAGCCCCTCATCTTTTAGTAGACCGCTAAGCTCAGCTCCGGCTTTCAGTCCAGATGCGGCCGCCGGCATACCGGTGATCTGAATTTCGTTCAAGGAACAGCCGAACTCATGAGATGCGACATCGTGAAATTCGGAGCCAGAGAAGGGGAGAATATTCTCAGAAAAGTTGACAAGATCAAGTCGCAAAGAGCCGAGGCTTGGGAGCAGCTTGGGTCTTGGTACTGATTTTTGGTGCATCTTGGGATCGTAGGGTGCACGTAGGCCAGTCAAGAAGTCCACGATTTGCGTCCATGCATATGATCGAAGGCCACCCCGGACGAGAGGCGTCTCTCGAGGCCGTACATGTACTTTGAGTTTGCTCTGTCTCGACATCGAGTGGTGGTATGTGCTCTCTAGTGTGTGCTTGCGATTTGTGGATTCATCATAGTACGTGGCAATAACACGAAATGTGACATGAGCGATTGATGCTCTGTATTGAGAGTCAAGGTCGGCAAATTGGCGCACAGCTTGGGGTGTTGTGAAAACGAAGTCATTGGACGTCCAAAAGATTCGCAGGCCCTCGACCCTCAAAGCTTTGCAGGTGGCTAAGAAGTGGATGGCGACTTGATTGCCGCGTGATTTTTCCTTGTCGGTCAGATTGGCTGATGTGAGGGTTGAAAGAGGATCAATAATCGGGTATTGGCTTGTCAAAGCGAATTTCAAAACCCGTAGAATGATTTCCATCGGGAACTGCGGACGCCCGAGATCTTTTGATGTCATAGAGGATCGGGTGTGCCGCTTTGTTGAGCGAGAGCTGTTTAGATGTGCTTGCGCTACAGGCGACCATGCAATTCCATTTTCTCGCAAAAGTTTTTTCAATCTCATATTTTCTTCTGCCAGAATCCTGTTGGTGTTGCGCAGCGGACTATGGTAGGCTGTTTTGGCCTGATCATCCTTATCACGACACTCCCATGCTTGCGGATCCTGCGATGATGATAAGTGTTAGACCTGGTAGGCGCCCGAATCTAGCGGCCAAAATCACTCACGACATCTGAAGCCATGGTGATGTGGCTTATCTACAGCTGAAAATAAATCCTCAACTTGACGCAATATGACGCTGCCGAGATCGCCGACTTCCTCGATGGAAGAAGAACCCTCAAGGAGGGGCAGAAGATGACGAGAGTATGCCTCGAAATCCGGAGTGACCCGAGGTGGTGTCGGTATGCGGTGCTCCTGTACGACACCTCACGGGGAGATCAAGGCGGAGACGGCTTCCAGAGTAAATCAAAAGACACCTCCAATAGCCGTTTTGTAGAAGTGATGAGTTGCGTGAGAGAAAAGAAAGTCGCAGCAGAAGCTGAGTTGGGCTTATGTAGCCTAAGTACTTATCCGATTAGGTGTGGGTGTCTGTGCATTAGGTAGGAGGGAGGCGGCGGGTTTGGCAATTGATTATTTGAGATGTCTACCACGGGCGCACCTTCCCTAGAGGTGGGTGGGTGGGTGGCAGGCAGGGGCCACATTAGCTAGAAGTTAAGGTAAGCACTCGGGGCTTCTCTCATTCACTACACAACCGCGCCTGCAGGCTGCAGTAAGTACATACAGCATAGCCGACGGCGGAGCGAGGCCGAGCCCACGTTGCCACTAAACAGCCAAGTAACACCAACGTGCTTGCCTACCTAGTGGGCAGGGCGTGACCTCATCGTTTGCAGCCTCATTTATGGGATACTTTACAAGAGCACTTGGGTGAGCTTGATCTGAGCAGCCACCCGATGCAGCAATCAAGCAGATGGAGCCATCCGAGGCCAAGGGGTCCTTCTGCTGATCTGCCCAAGGATTTAGAGCTTAGCACAGCGAGTGCCTGTGGGGCCCCATGCATGATGCGATCTCGCCCAAGCCAAAGTCAAACACTAGCGCTTGATCCAAGCCTGAAATAGCATGATGATAAGATAGGAAGCTCCGCTGAAGCGTACGATGCAAGTATTACCTTACGTTGAAATGATTGTATTTTTGAGAAGAAAAAAACGAGATGTTTAGAACCAGCGGCGGTGAATGTCTCCTCTGATCTCCAGGAGATGCTAAGCTAGTGGGCAAACACGTCTTATGCACTCACCCGGAGAGTTGAATTTAACCTGCCTGCTTAATTGCTTCAACCTCAGAGCTAGCAGGGAGGTGTGATACTGATAGGCACTGAATGTTGTGATTTTGGCATGGGGGAGCTCCCTATAAATCATCGAACCTGAGAGCTGGTATCAATAACAAAGCTACTGCTGCCTCGTCAAGTGGCTGAAATAAAACATGGCACACCAAAGATCTTTTCACGTAAGGTAGGGACCTCATTATTTACTAAATATAATAATCAGAGAATAATAAATTATTCTACGATATTTAGCTTAATACTGTATTTATTGCTAGGTTAATTATTTTTGATATTATATTAAAATCATAATACTAGAGGTTCTAGGTGTGCCATGTTTTATATCAGTCGCTTGCTCGTGTCTTAGATTTCAATAAAAAAAAACGAATTTTAAAGGAAGCTTCTTTGATTTGGGTTGACGTCATGACCTTGTCGATAATTGGGCACGTATCGGCTGAAAGAAAGCATCGTAGTCTATGATGACATGAGCGCCAAATAATGATACTGGATGAGCTCATCAAAGTTGCGATCTCAGATCTATTCGCTGTATTTAATGAACGCGCCTGGTTCTTTCAGCATGGGTTACTACACCACACAGTTCTACATCTTCCAAAGACTTTGCATTATTCATACTCCAGAATGTCATTCTCCAACACTTCCACCGGCGACAAGCCTGCCGATCCCTATAAACAGGCAAACAAGTCCGACCCCGACTTGAAGACTAAAGTTGAAGAGTTGAAAGAATTCATGGTCAATAGCAAATTTGGCATGTTGACCACCCACGAAGCATCATCCGACAACCTCGTGTCACGGTGCATGGCCCTGGCAGCCACTGTAAGCGCGGCAGACGTGCAATGTATCCCCAAAGCATGCGTGGGCTAACTGGTTTATTATTGGTAGGAAAACGGTGGGATCGACTTGCTATTTCATACCAATACCGAATCTGGGAAGACAAATGATCTCGCGGCTGATTCACATGTGAACATCTCGTTCCTCAATTCCTCTGGGGAATGGGCCTCCATTGCGGGCAACGCGAGTATCATTACAGACCGTGCTTTTGTGAAGGATCACTACAGTCCAATTTTGAAAGCATGGCTTGGGGACCTAGGCGACGGCATTCATGATGGCTCAGAAAATGACCCTCGCATCGGAGTTATTCGGGTGAAAACCATCACGGCGACATATACTCTTGTAGCCAAGAACATCGTCAATCGTGCGATTGAGGTAGCTACGGGCGCGATCACAGGAAAGCCAGCCCAACCGAACAGCCTTAGGGAGTTAAGTGCTGCGGAGGTTCAACAATGGCGAGCTGTCAATCAGTGAAAAGAGACAGGGTATTGAGTCGGGCATCTCGAACAGTATCTTCCTTCTTTACCACTGCCAACACACGACGATGACCCAATATGATGGCGTGTAACTCATTCGAGCATTTGTATGGTATCTGATATATGGCCCTCTAATGTTGGCCATAGTTAGCCTTGAATAGGGTGTCCCACTTGTCCTTATCGA